TAAAGTGACAGCTGGATATCCGGAACAAAGCATGCCGGGAATGATTAAGATTTAGGATTAGAGAATGTGAATCTCGAGAGCAGAACGTGATTCTCAGACGGAGACGAGAGTTTCTGCAAAGAAATACTCCAATCTCTTTCCAGGTCAGAGAACACAATCTCTTCTAAAATTAAATTATGCTTGAGAGGACACCAGGTTGTAAACTCTTGGGAAAGATTCTAGAAATTATTTGGAAAGAAATTGAAAATTTCAAAGGTGAATAAATAAATAAATAAAAGTTGGAATGAAAAACGTTGAAATTGATAGAAAGAATGAAAGTAAAATCACGTATCACAGTGAGTCGGGTCTCAGCTAAAAGAGGCTGAAAATTCTCCTTTTAATATTAATAAGAAAATTCCGTTAGAAACAAAGAAAAAAGTGCTGAACTGCTATGTAATATCAATTCTCTTAAACTGCAGTGATTGCTGGACAATTTCCTCACAGCTGAAGAGAAGACCTGTGGTAAAAGAAATGTGATTCTACAGGAGCATGCTGAGAATATCATAGACGGAGCATGTGAGCAATGAGAATCTTTTAAGAAAAAACAGAAATAAAAAGGACCCATTCTGATAATCAGAAAGAAACAATTGGAATTTGGAGGATAGTTAAAAGGGGGGTGCTTGAAGAATTTTCCACCCAAGTGGCATATTGAAAGCAAGAAGAGCAGAGGTAAAGATCTTGTGTAAAATGGAAGGCAAAACAGAAACAGGAGCTACAAAAGATAGGAAGCTGTGAAGAGTCATTATCATTCACCTTCTAAAGGGACGCAGCGTAGAAAAGTAGGTCTCCACGGACAGAATTCCTAATAGAATCCTATAGCGAGACAACGCCATTACGTTCTTTGGGATGAGTACACTCTCTGTGGTAAAAATAACGTGCTACAAGGGTAACCAATTATTTTTTTTAATTATCTTTATTATTCTTAGTTCTCTCGGGGTTTTTTGTGGGGTGGTTTATTTCTAATTCTACAACCACCTTCCCCAAAGTCGGGGGCCTATCATTATTCAATCGTTTTTATATGGTAAATTTTCAGTTGAACCCCATTATTTAGTTCCATCAGTTCTGAATTTAACAAACAGGCCTTTGTACTCTCCGGCCTTCTTTAAGTATCATATTCGGTAACCGTCTAAACTAACACTTTATTCAATTCATTTGGTGAGTTCGTCCCCAACTAAAATGGCCTCGAAGATGGAAAACTTATTTTCCTGTCGGCAACCCTTATGCCACAGACGCAATATCGCAAGCCTATCGCTATTTCCAATTTAAATATTTGAATGAGCCCTATTCTTTACTTCCATTAATACAGACATTTTCAATTAGGACACGCCGTACTACATCCACGGAGTTGAATCATCTTCATTTCTCCCGTATTCCCAATGTAAGCAGATAGTTTTTGACACTGCTACTTTGTGGAACTGATTCCCGTGTGGACGCTTCCATGAAAATGAAAATCTTCCAATCAAATTGCTTTTTCCTGTGAAAATCGAACTCTGTTCGCTGGTTTCCATGAAAGTAACTGTTATGGGACCTTACCCATAATGACTTAATAGACTATTCCATACGTTATAAATACTGCGCCTCAAGAGGAAGCAGGGAGTTCAGCCTGAAGTCGGGTGACCGGCTGACCGGTTGATCGGTTGTACTTTCTGCCTTCGGGCGGGGAGGAACCCGAACGAGGCTACGCCGAAGGGCGGAGTCTCTTTCGGGGAGGTAAACCGACTCTGAACCCATTTATACGGGTTTAAAGGGCATATTTTTAGCCGAGCCCACGGGCTCGGAGATCTCACGGGCTCGGAGATCTCACGGGCTCGGAGATCTCACGTTAAACCGGCCTTGTGCCACATGATACCTTCGTGGGGGCTGACTAAATACTGTTGAGTCTGAAGTCTGGAGTGAGGTCCGTCAGTCGAGTCAGAGGCAGTCCGAAACAGAGTCACGTTCAGACAATTACAAGACATTGGAATAGTGATACTGGTCGAGACTACATTGTTCTCTCTACTAAACCTGATTGTTCATACTAACACGTTCTACTTATCTATATATATTCCTGTTTGTAATATATCTCTGTTATTCCATACCTGTGTTCGAGTTATTCTTTATTGGTTCTACCTTGGATTATCACCGTGGTACAAGGAACCGGACCATAACAGTAACAGACATATGAAATCGTACTATACGCGAACACACAATGAGACACACGCAGCAACACACAGACGAACTCAGAAACTAACCAGTAATTAAAAAAAAAAATAGCCTGTTGTGCCTAATTGGAAAAATCACTTTCTTATCGCTAATTTCTTAGCCAGAGCAAGCCAGAAGCAAGAGAAATCAGTTACCTCCATAATCAATCTTGACATGGAACCAATAATTTCCCTCATATGGTCACAAGCCCAAATCTGCTAAAACACATCCATTGCTAAATTAATGCTTAAATTTTTGTGTGCATGTGTTTGTGAGTAAACTATTTGTGTCGCACGATATAATAAGATATATTTAATGATATTGCGTGTTTTAAGTTGTCGTTCTATTGAAGTTATATTTTGGGAGACAGTTTGATTTCTTTAAGAGATTGTAGGATATTATATGGATTGATGCAGTGAAATAGTTCTTTAATGTTGATTGTTTGGTTGGTTGATTTTTGTTTGGCGAAATATCAACACATCTATGAGTTAGTCAATACCAAAATCTGAATATTTGGAACACAATGTGAATTGCTTCAACTGAATATATCTTGAACGCATATGTATGCCTTCAACTATAGATAAAATATATCGTTGGTCATTTTGCTATAAAATATATTGCTGGTCCGTTTGCTTTAAATATTTATTGTTGGTTGATTGATTTTGTTTAACGGCATATAATATTCTATGTGTTATTTAAAAAAAAAACAATGTGATGGCTTCAACTAAATATATCTTGAATGCAATTGTATACCTTCAGCTACAAATAAAATGTATTGTTGGTCATTTTTCTATAACATGTATTGCTGATAATTCTACTATAAAATTCTACTGCTGGTCATTTTACTTCAAAAATGAACTGTTGGCAATTGCACTATACACACGTAGTTGCTATGAATAGGTATTGATGGTAATTTTTACTATAAATAGGTATTGTTGGTTGACTGATTTTGTTTAACGGCATATAATACTCTAGATACTGATATATACAGATACTGAGAGGTATTGTTTGTATTTTTGCTATAAAAATGTATTGTTTGTATTTTTACTATAAAAATGTGTTTTTATACTTTCATAGTGTTTTGTTTTTGTTTAGGGGTTCAATATTTGCCCATAGTTGGGACCCTAAAAGGTGCTACCACCCTAAGTCAGGGTGGACACGGGAACACCAGCAAGATAGTTGTCGTTCCAAGTTTTTCTCAACCGCCAATCACCCAATCAGAGGTCTTGCTGCCTGAAGTAGTTTATAATGCGATAACAAAATTAATATCGATTTAGCTGCAAGTATTGAACTCACTAAAGTCTTGAAAGCAACATCAAGCGAATAAAACGTGTGGCTCTTGAAGTGGGTTGTCAATCGTCAGATCTCTAAACTGGCGTTACAGAATACCAAAGACCTTTACTAAATAACAGAAGCCACATTACCTAAAGACTTTCGGCAGCAGCAATAGCTAAAATGGATAGTAGATTCAACTTGCCGTCCTGAGTAAACAGCAAGGCCTCTGGTCAGGAGCTTTTGAGGAGCATGGAACCACCTCATAAATGCTGGTGTTCCCAGGTCCACCCTGATCCAGGGTGGTAGCACCTGTTAGGGTCCCAGCAATGGGTAAATAGTTAAACCTCAAAACACTATGAAAGTGTAAAAATTGGTTTTAATACCAGCAAAACATTTTTGTAAACCAGCAATGAATTTTTGAAGAAAAAATATTACCAGTAATAATACATTTTTGCCAAAAGAAAAAAAAAAGAAAGAAAGAAAAACAAAAAACATTGCCAGCACTACATTTAAAAAAAAATGATATTAATACATATTCTATTTATATGAACCTATCCTGAAAATCTTGTCGGCATTAAATAACCCACTGAGGTTGATGTGTCGTAAAGCAAACCAAACCAAACAGATGTCATAATAAAGTTGCCCAGTTGCTTAAACAAGAGGCTAGGAAGGAAGCCCCTTTCGATGCTAGAAAGAACGTTAATAATACACTTGGGGAAACCTATTCTTCTAAAATCTGTTTTCAGAATATTTTATAAATTTCAAGCACTAGTAATAGTAACTGTTCAGTGAATGAATATTTCCTTATAAGGCAACGGTAGTAATAGTAACTGTTCAGTGAATGAATATTTCCTTATAAGGCAACGGTAGTAATAGTAACTGTTCAGTGAATGAATATTTCCTTATAAGGCAACGGTAGTTATAGTAACTGTTCAGTGAATGAATATTTCCTTATAAGGCAACGCTTAATTTCACTATTACATTTTGCATTAATGTGCTGGGAAACTGGAAAGCAATTGTAATCTGTCTCAACTTTATTTTAGTTTGCCACAAGGCCATGCTTATTGGGCAGCCGTTAAGGATCAAACTTAATATAGTTGTCGTATTCTGAGACGTGGTGGCAAAGGTATATCCAATAGAAAGCGCATCCTAGTCAGGCAAAAGATCACAATTTTGAGATACATACTTTATTCTTCGTTTTCTTATGCAGTTCATCACTTTCTGCAGTTCCTTATTCATATATATTTTCAGTTTCTTTCAATTTTTTTCTAAAGAAAACTCTTCAGTATTTCTTTAGTTCTGTTATCATGTCTGTTATAGTGCATTTCATTGTTTTTTTGTTTAGTTCTACTATCATGCACTTGACTGTTTTCATTAGGTTCTATCATATGGCACTTCATTGTTTATTCTAAATGTATCAGAACTTACCTCCTTGTTCTCTTCAGTTCTGTTGTATGATTTATTTTTCTCGGTTCTATCACATTGCACTTCATTGTTTATTTTAAATGTATTATAACTTACCTCTTTGTTTTGCCCAGTTCTATTATCATACACTTCATTTTCTTCCTTTCTATCATATTTTACACTTCATTGTTTTTTGTGGTGGTGGGGGCGGTTCTAGTTTCACTCATTTCACTTTACCTCTAAAGGAAATGTTTCATATTTTTTTTCTTTTTTTTATCTTCAGACATTTTTCATTTATTTTCAGGCTTTGTTTATTTTGCGCATAATATTGTTTTTTTTTAACTTTATTTTATCCTTTATGAGTGTACGCATAGCGTTGTCGTCATCGGCGCGGAAATTAAGATTGGCATGACGACTTAAAATTCGTAACGTTCGTTTTTGCACGAATACCTTTGGGAAAGGTATGAATCCATTTCTTATCCCCTCCAGCGTTAAACATGTGTGTTAAGTAAAAAAAGCATTTTGGGCTTTCTAGATTTGATTGGCAACTAATCTAAAGGGAGGATAACTTTTAATGTAAAAAAAAAAAATGGTTGCGTGTGTGTGTGTGCATCTCTCTTCATTGAAAGCCTACCTGGTAAGGCAATCACTGCTCTATACTCCAGATAAACTAAGAATTTGTCTCTCTCACTGTTGGCTTTGTGACACGTGTGTAAAATTTTCTTCACTTTTTCTTTCACTTTTTACTTCATTAGTGCTGGGTATGACGATAAATTACATCCTGCAGCACGGATTCTGTTTGGGAGATTGGAGATTTTGAGGCGCGTGGAACTACCTCTTTTTTGCTGTTGTTTCTAGGTAGCGTCCGTTAAGGTCCTAGCTATAGGCAAAGAGTGAACCTCTAGCAAAACACCATGAAAGTATAAAAATGCATTTTTATACATTAGAATTACCAACAATACATTCTGTCTGTAGTTGAAAGTATATAACTGCGTTCAAATTATTTAGATTTCGGTATTATATGACCCACAGATGTTGATAAACCGATAAACAAACAATCAATATGAAAGAACAATTACATGACACTAAGCCATATAATATTCTACATTTTCTTAAATCAAACTGTATTCCAAAATATAATTTCCAAAAAACTACAATATAAAACACACACACACACATATATATATATATATATATATATATATATATAACCGCTTTTAGTAATTATCCACACAAAAATACATATGCACAAAAGCTGAATATTATCTACCATGTATTAGATTGTGAAAGGAGAATAACATAACGTATTTTTATTATCTATCCATATTTCTGAGATGAGGTATTGTAACTCTTTACACTATTTACATTTTTCGGACTGTTATCCTCATCGACGTTTGGGCCGTTGTACACTCCGACTTTCCCAAGGAGTCATAGCCTAGTGGATAAAAGCATAGGATGAAGTAATTCAGTCACTTGACCCAAAGAGTTGTGAGTTCAATACCTGGCCACAGAAGAGGTGAACAAAAACTTGGAGTGTTGAGTTACTAAAGGTAATTAACCGAAACTGAGATATCCAGAAAAGGCATGGCACGTGGAACTAGAACAATCTACCCGAGTGGACTAAATAAAGGGTTCGATTCGAAATTCCAGCGTATCTCATCTGAAGGAGGCCAACGTATTTATCCACTGGACCATGTGTCCTTGGAGATATCAGCGTATGAATTTTGGGGACTTAGAAACCTAATGTCTCAGTAAGAGTTGTGAGTTCAATACCTGGCCACAGAAGAGGTGAACAAAAAAACTTGGAGAGTTGAGTTATTAAAGGGAAATAACTGAAACTGAGATGTCCAGAAGAGACATGGCACGTGGAACTAGAACATTCTACGATGGATGAAATAAAGGGATCGGTTCGAAATTCTAATCACTTGAAGAAGGCCGGAGCGTACAATGGTCAAATCATCGGGAATATGACAAGAAAGAGGAGGAGAACAGTCCGAATAATGTAAATAGGGTAAATATTTTTATTACTTAAATTCTCCTAAGAAATTTGAATTTCGCCATTAAATGACCCATAAGGAGTTGATGTGTCGTTAAACAAACAAATCAAGTAAAAAAAATCTTTTCCTTTAGAAGATTTTTCTATGATAGAGTCCACTGAGGAGATGTTACTACAGCTACTCAAAACATTAGGCGTTGCTGGTTGTTTTATCGTAGCAAGTAGGTGTTTACGGGTTGGAGATTTTAGTCTCATACCAACCGGTTTTGAATTCGAAGTTGCCAATTTAGCACATCGCTAGAAAGGAGAAGAATTTGGTGCATAGCTTTCGCGAAAAGGGACTGCAACGATTTCGACTGGAATTCAAACTATGTAAGACCGATTTCGCTTTTTGAGTCGCTTACCATTACACCATCTAGAAGAGCCATTCCATTCTATTTTCTTTTTCTTTCATTTTGTTCCGATTATTTTAAGCCTCCTTCTTTATTATTCAGATCGTTCGTCAATTTCCCAACAACCAGTTCTCCCTCTCCAGTCTCTATAGAGTCCTAAAGCATCTCCGAGTCCTTGAAAAATTATTTTCCTCCTGCCAGCCTCTGTCTCTCTCTGTCTCTCACGGGCAGCATGGAGTGAGCTTCTCACTGCTCTACCGCTATTTCTATGGAAAGTTCTCGCACGAACGACATTCCTTTGTTTCGTGAGTTCTAACCTTCACATCCAGGACCCGCCATGTCACTTATATTTTAGCAAACTGCCCACATTCCAACCTTGGTAAGAAGTAAGTTCCACTCGAACAGCTTCTTCACACGAACCAATGTTCAGTGGAATCGACTCCCCAGGGGATGTTTCCCTGATCAGTACAATCATAACCTGTTCAAGTTTAGGGTTAACCGTTATCTTTCAGTCATATCCGCATAAACTGCACTTTCTATCTCGAGTGGCCTCCGTGTCTTGTACAGAGTGAACCGCACTGTAAACAATATCTTTTCAGTGATTTCTTTTTATTAAAACATTGATTTCGGCAATCCAATCATTTTCATTTGTTTCCTGGTGGTTTTTTTGAACGGAGACTATTTTAAACGAATAAAGTCAAAAGCAGAAAGGTTTTCTTTTTCGAGCTCCTTTTTATTTTCGTTTTTATCACTTCCTCTTTCTTTCCACTTCTGTTTTCGTCTTCTTTTTTTCAAATTTTACTTCCCCCTCCATTTTTCTTTCTGTTTCTTTCATCTTTCTTTTTTTTTCTTTTTCTTTCCTCTTCCTTTTTTCTTTTTCTTTCCTCTTCCTTTTTTCGTTTTCTTTCCTTTTCTTTTTTCGTTTTCTTTTCTCTTCTTTTTTCTTTTTCTTTCCTCTTCCTTTTTTTCGTTTTCTTTTCTCTTCTTTTTTCTTTTTCTTTCCTCTTCCTTTTTTCATTTTCTTTATCGATCTGTTGCTTTCCTCTTCCATTTCTTTTTCTTCTTATTTTTCTTCTTTTATAACATTTTTTTTTTTTGCTTATTTCATTCCCTTTTCTTTTTCCTTTTTTGGTTTAACATTTCTTTTCTTTTCCTTCCCTCTATTCTTCTTTTGCTCTCTACGTTATTCTTTTCTTCGTTTTTTTCTTTTTATGTCAACTTACTTTATGTTTTCCCCCTTCTTTCTTTATTTTTCCTATTTTTTTTTATCTACACTATTCATTTTTTTTTCCTTTTTTTCTTTTTATTTCATTTCTTTTTTCTTCTTTTTTTCCCTCCTCTCTTTTTGTCTTATCTTCATTTTTTTCTTTATTATTACCTTTTCTTTCACCTTTCTAATTCTTTTCTTTTTTTGATTTACTTTTTCTTTGGTCTTTCTTTTTCCGACGTTTTTTCTTTTCTTTTTCTTCCTTTTGTCATTTCTTCCATTCCCAAAGCAATATCAAGTCAATTCCGACATGACTATCTGCTTTAACAATATCGTTTATTGCAATGGCGTCAACTTCATCACACAAAATATTTGCTCTGAATGCATTTTTTGAATCGGAGTGATTTCAAATATGGCCGTTTCTTTCGGGATTCTGAATGCAACCTATTTCATTCCGGAAACTTTTTATTTTTATTTTTTGTCTCTTTAAAATATTTTAAATAGCTTTTTTTTTTACATCACCCAATTTTAAGATGATTATTATTGATTATAAGATGTTCTTTCTTATCGCTCTGGAGAGTTTAAATTAATAACAAAAGGAGAAAGAGAAGAAGTCGACGAGAAAAGAGGACGACGAAAAAATGAAGAGTGAAAGAAAGGAAGAAATTTTGAAAGAAAGAAGGAAAACGAGAGAACTAGAACGGAAAAATATCTTATGTTTAAAAAAAGGAAGGGAAGCAGAAATTGAAAGAAAAAAAAGACCTCAGAAGAATGGAAGGAGAATATGAATCATGAGGAACTGAAGAAGAAATATCAGGAAGAATAAGGAAAGGGATTGAAAGAAAGAATAGAAAAAGAAATGAAAGGAAGGAAAAGACAAACACAAACAAGTAATTATACAAGGTATAGTGTCATTTTATAGTTCCAGTAAACAGAAATAGCGCTCTCAAATCGGAGAGTAACAAAACAAGGGGAGACCACTCTTGATTATTCATAATAGATATATCGAATGAATGATAAAACAAATAAAGAAAAAAGAACTAATTAATGAAAAAGAAATAAAAACAGAAAGAATGGTAAAGGATTCTTTTATTCGGTATCACCCCATGTAAGGCGGCAAAACCACTAAGACGCAAGGGTTTACAGGGCGTGTAAGAATTAGGAACAGAAACTTATATAATGAGCTTAAGGGGGAAAGAGTAATCGGGAGGACAGTAGATAGCGATTGACATTGCTTTTAAATTTTTGCAGATTAATTTTGGCTGGAAAGCAGGGAGCCGGAAGGGATTCCACAAGCGAGAGGTGCGAGAAAAGAAACTTTCAGCATAGAATGTACGGTTGATTTACTGAAAAAGAAACTAAAAGAAAGAAAAAGAAAAGGGAAGTCATAAGAAGAATAAAGAGAGCTGGTCTGATAGAGAGAGAGAGAGAGAGACAGAGAGAAAGAAGGAAAGAGAAAATGAAAGAAAAGGAGGAAGAGAGATTTAAAATATAAGAAAAAGGATACGAAAAGATGAATAATTGCATAAAAAAAAGAAAAAAGTGAGAAAGAAAAAGAAAGAAATAAAAAAGAAAAGAAAGAAAAAGAGAAAGAATGAAATGTAAGGTCGTTAAGAAAGATAGAAAGGAAAATATGTTTCTAGATTTTATTAATCAAATCAATGTTTTCACAATAAAATTCGTATTAACAACTGATCGTTGCAAATTTCTGTGATATATATATATATATATATATATATATATATATATATATATAATATATATATATATATAATTAAGTTATGAAGAACTTGGTAAACCGAATGGGTAATTCAAGGAGGATGGAATCCTGAGAGCTCAATGTGAAAAACAGAGCTAATATTTAATGAAAAACAGACCACTTTAAAGGTACCATTACAATAATTTATTTCACCAAAATCCTTTTAAAGGACTCCGGATCATCAGGTAACAATTCCAACAACGAAATGAAAAGAAAAAATATATATATATGTGTGTGTGTGCGCGTGCGCTACTGCTAGTATTCTATGTGTGTGTACTAGCAGGCTTCGTCTGCTCGCTATCGCTTCGCAAAATAAGATATATTCAGTACTTGAAATATTTGAATCAAAAAATTTTAAATGAACATTTCATTCATAAATTGGCTTGTTATAGTTAAGAAAAGTTTTATAAATAGATACCAACTTGTTGATGACCAAGTAAAATGCAAATTTCAAACACTTTGCAGCACTATATAAGACAATACTAAAGCGAACTATTTTTGATATGAAAATCAAAACAATCCTTTAATAAAAGAACACAAATGAAGGACAGTTACACTATTTACATTGTTCGGACTATCCCCCTCATCGTTGTTGTCATATTTATCAGGGCGTTTCGGTCGTTGTACTCTTGAAGGACACATGGCACAGTGGATAAAAGCGTTACTTAGATCCAGTGAGAGGACCCAAAGAGTGTGAGTTCAATATCTGGTTGAGGCAGAGAGAACTTAAAGAGGTAAATTAACAGCAGATAACTGATAAATGACATCCATTTAACATGGCACGAGGAACTAGAACAGTCTACCTTAGCGAGCGAAATAAAGGGTTCAGTTCGACATTCCAAACACCTGAAGAAGGCCGGATCGTACAACGGCCGAAACGTTGTGATGAATATGGTAACAAAGATGAGGACGATAGTCCGAACAATTTATATAGTGTACATAATACCTCATCTCGGAAATATAGACATATACGGAAGGGCAGTTAATTAATGAAATATACATTTTTAAAATTAATATGCAAATTGCCTAAACCTGAAGAGTGGTATTGCCTAGAATTAGATAATATATAATACAGATATAGAGCTATTTGCATATAAATTACTATCAAGTAATTTGTATGTATTATTTATCATCTCTGAGTTGCGTCATTGTCCTCAACGGACAGACGGGCAACTGAGGAAAATTATACTGAAGAGGTGCCCAGCCCTGGAGAACAGCTGCCCGAGGCCGCGCCCTCCCATTGTACAAGAGGGTGGGACCAGTGCTCGCACCGTGGCCAGCGCAACCGACAGCTGCGTGGGGTTAGGGGAATTTTTGACCCTGCTCGGGTGCATTAATCCGACCTTGTGTCACATCTCATTCTCGTGGGGGAATGAGTAAACACCGCATATAAATTACTATAAAATAGAGTTGGGACTTTTTAAGCTCAGGGCTTTTTAAGCTGCTCGGCCCAGCGGCTAGGATCAGAGTGTAGTACGCTGCCTTTGTGAGCTTCCGAGTCGGCGTCTGTCGAACTCTCTGCATTAGCAGAGAGGAACCCGGACGAAGCTTTGCCGAAGGGCAAGTTTTCGCCCGGGGAGGTAGACAGGGCCTGAATCCGTCAAGGCGGGTTCAAAAAGGCTATATTTTTGGCCGAGCCTACGGGCTCGGGCATACCCACATTAAACCGGCCTTGTGCCACATTCTATCCTCGTGGGTGGATTGATAAATACTAAGCTCAGAATTTGTTGGAAAATTGTGCTCCAATTTATAACTATAGATTCCGTAATGTAGATTTTACTTAATTTGCTGTTATGTTTCTCTAACTCTTCAAATGTTAAATGTATAATTAATTCTAATTTCTATTTTCCCACACTGTATTAATTTTATCTTATAAATTGTCCCCTGTTCTGTCACCCATGTAATAAAAATAATTGTTTGTACGGAAAATAAGGATCTATGTACATTGTCTTTAAATTAAGTGGCAGCAGAAGAATTATCGTTTAACTTTTAAAAGGTAATCTTAAACAATAATTCAATGTGTAAATGAAGCGATCAATTTTGAGTTCATCTGTATCGCATCTACTTGTGGAATAACACAGTATTTCCACCTACATTTTACGCGCGCGCGCGGATTGCACCCCTTCCTCTCAGATTCAGCTACACATAGCAGTAAACAGCCACTTTTGGCTGACGTGGGGAAGGTTGCTTACTAGCTACTCCTGATATCTGTCTAGGACGGAGTTTGAATTTTTCCCGCGCGTTTCTTGACGTCACAGACGAACAGCGTTTTCAACTCAGTTGCTTCCCGATTTTCAAGCTAGCAGGACAACTCATTTATTCCGTGCCCCTAACCCATACGCGGGCCGGAATATCTTAAATAAGCAAAACTTCAACATGTCGAAATTATATTTTTCCAAGACTCATTCTCGTCTTGATGCAAACAGCATGTCGAACTTTTCTCCGTTTTCGACTAGAAAATGTAGAGTTCTACGACACTGTCGACATTATATTTTTCAAAGACTCATTCTCGTCTTGATGCAAACTGGTTTTTCGAAGTTAGCCGCAATCAGAGCTTAGGACCAACAAGTCGGCTTATTTATTCCTCGTCAGTTAACCATAATACAGACAGGGATATCTTAACAGCAAATAATTCTTCGTCCCTTTTGGCTCGTTGTGCGTAATCTCTTCAAGACGATGCAACTAACGGCAAATAATTCTTGTTCGAGCCTTGCCTTCGTCACATCACCTTTTTCGACGACTATTTCCTCTACCTAAGGCTAAGATCTCATTCGAACTTGCCTTTCGTCCATGACCAGGGAACTTTGAAACCTTCAACAGTTAAGAATGAGAACTTCTCATATCCGTTGAACTCTAAACATTATGAACCAGTACCTTAAAAATATAACATTACACTCACACTAACAAAACTCGCAGTGAGTATTTTCTTTGTTGTATGTATAATATTCCGTATAAATTGACTGTTCTGGAACTGACTTCCTGAAGAACTTTTCCCGCCTTAGCCATCTTGGTTTTCTGTTTTGGCGCGGAACTCTGACATTCCTTCAGTGACCTCTTGACACAACCTTTTCATTAATTGCAAAGATCCAGTAACTTTACTGATGGTCTCCACTGTCGAGAAAATTTACTTGTTTAAAAATAATAAAAGTTTATATTTGTTCTTTTACCAGACGCATTTTGTCATTTAATCCAGGCTATCTATACTTGTATTATATTTATGCACTTGTTGAATGACCCCTTCTCCTCACTAAGATCACTCACTCTATATTTTTACTTTGTTTGTGGATTCGGTAGTTTTGTGTAGTGTCTGGCACAAGGCCACCTTTTAATAAACCAGCACTGCACGCTACCGGGTCCGCAACATACTCCTTCAAAGCTGTTGTGATGATGGCTAAACCAAGAGTCCTTCACAGGAGTTAGCTTAAATGCCACCAGGCTGGGCGGCTATTAAGCTAGTTTATAATAAAATGTGCACTGCAATTTTGAATACAAAAGGAAAATAAGATTTACTCCCCTTGAGCCATGAAAGCCACGATAACGGCTAGTGTAATATATCAATATATATTTTTGACCTCGCATAATCTGGCAACCCTGAATCTTTTCTGAAAGTTAAAGTGGGGGGTGGGTATAAGGTCAGAATTAAAAACAGACTTGTTGGTATGTCTTGAACGTTCAGAAAAGAGGTAAGACTTTTCTTAAAAATCATTTAATCATCAGTTTTTTTTTACCATCGCCTGAAGAAGTACAATCATATTATTGAAACATGAAAGCTTTTGTGTACCGATTTCAACGCGGTTTTATTAAAATCTCTTAATAAAAAAAAAATAATAATATACTGCTCTACTTTGTATTGAGCACTTTTTGAAAAGCAAATACTAGAAACAGTAGAATACTACTCCATCCGTTCTTTCTGTCATTTGTGTGTGTGTATATATATATATATATATATATATATATATATATATATATATATATATATATATATATCTCGAATGAGTTTAAGTTTATAATATCTATCCTTATTAAACATATTGATAACATCTGTTACTAGCCTACGGGACTAAAAAAACTACCATCATTGCCTTCTAATTGGTGTTGGTTGAGTATCTCTATAAAGGATATCACAGTCATATCCAATGTAGATCTACATTCATCAAAATAAAATTCCTATCAATACGCTAATACGGAGTCTTTGACATTCTATATCTTGGTTCTCTTTTGAGAGGATGTCTTTTTTTTTACAGCACATGACAACCTTTACTTGGAATTAAATGATAAATATCAATAAAAATATACTATACGTTTAAAAACTAGCGACCCCACCATTAGGCAATAAACTCTCAGAAAACCATATAAGTCATTATAAATATTTCTAATAAAAACACATACTACTGGAATATATTACTCGTGTAAAACATCCTGTGCATTTTTCCAGGATCGATTGTATGATACGAATTTTATTGCAAAAGCGTTGACTTGCATAATAAAATATGACGAAGAAAGAAAACAGATAGAAAAGAATGAGAAAAATAACAACAACGACAATGGTAGTAGTAATTCTCAATTGCTTTATTCTCATATCAACAAGATACAAATAAAAAAGAAGCGCTTGGCCCCTAGCCACTGAGCTGTTTATATAACACCGGAGGAGGTAACATATGTCCTCCGGTGTCTGCCTGTGAAAGTCCCCCATTATCTAATGAGACCTTCCGTTTCGACTCTACAGAATGAAAGAAAGAAAGAATAAAAAATATGAAAGAAGGACGGAGGAATGAATAAAAAATTGAGTTGAAGAAAAAGGAGAGAAAAATAAAAATGAAATTAAAGGAAGAAAAAGAACAGGCGTTTGAAAATAGAAAAAAATAAAATGTTAATTAGATTTGAGAAAAAAGAGAGGTGGGGAAAAAAGAAATAGGGAAAATTATTAACATGTAAAAAAGATAAAATCAAAAGGAACAAAAAAGAACAATTTCATTAAGCAGAAATAAAAAAAAAAGAAAACAAAATGAGGAATGAAAATTAGGGAATAAAAGAAAAAAAAACTAAGAGAATAAGTGAACTAAATAAAAAAATGTTAAAACCATGAATGAAAAAATTAGCCGAAGAAGAAAATAACTTAAAAAGTGAAAAATTCTAAACAAGGAAAGAGAATAGCCACAAAGATCAATAATGGAACAAATGAAAAAAAAAAAAAAAAAAAAAAAAATGAAAACAGAAAGAGAAACATAAAAACAACAACAAAAAATCTTCCTTTTAGAAGCAGACTTCAAGATCGTTTCTGCGCATGACAGGCAATCGAAAATGCTTGCAAAGTTGGATACCACCCGCCTAAACCAAAACAAGTGGATGTTGAAGAACTGTAGTTTTATTACTCAAAAGATTATTCGATTAATTGGAATAACAGAATAACATCGCTTTAACTCGGGGAAAAAAGCCCAGCTCTTAAGTTAAAGCTTCGGTAGCAAGTTATTATGAAACGCCAGAAACTTATCTGTCATTCAGGTTCTTTCTTTCTTTCTTTCTTTCTTTCTTTGCTTTTTTTTTTTTTTTTTCTTTTTTTTTTTTTTTTTTTGTCGAAATGCACTCGATATTTAATGTCCGTTATACAGTGTTTTGCACTAGTTATCTATCTATCTATCTATCTATCCTATTTGTTGTCTCTCTCTCTCTCTCTCTCTAATATATATATATATATATATTTAATGTCCGTATATATATATATTTTTAAAAGAACTGAAATCAATCCTAAAAAAAGTGAACAAGGGATAATCTTCTCTCTTAAAAAAAAGACCGGCAATGAACTGGACGATAGCTGATCTATCTATCTATCTATCTATCTATCTATCTATCTATCTCTCTCTCTCTCTCTATATATATATATATATATATATATATATATATATATAAGAACTATATATATATATATATATAAAAAGAACTGAAATCTAATCCTAAAAAAATGAACAAACCTTCTACTGTTAAAAAATCCACGAAGGAGTATGAACTGGACGATAGCTGAATCTATCTATCTATCTCTATCTATCTATCTATCTATCTCATTCTTTATCTATCTAAACTTTCATACGTATCAAATGCTACTAATTTGCTTAAGTGATATTTCAATCCCATCCAGACATTTCGATACCATTTTGCCCCATCTACTCACCCTCCACGTTGATTCCATTCTAATTCTACATGTTTTTCCTTTTGAGAATCCATTCTCCTTTTACATTCCTAGTCAGTTCTCTCTCTCTCTCTCTCTCTCTCTCTCTCACCTGTTTGGTTCCACCCCAATGACAGTTAGGCGATTCCAGTGTTTTCATCAATAATCGCTGGCAATTTAATATCCAAAGCGACTCTTAGAAGGAACGTATTCAGTAACTGGCCCGAAATTATTTACTCTTTGGAATGCAGGTCAGGTTTTAGGGAGGAGGCTTAAATTGGTTCCACTTTTATTAGGCTCTAGACCACAATTCTCAAAACACAATCGAAATTCATCTCTGTTCACTTTCATGAGGAATCTGTCTCACACACACATGAACACATACACGCGAGTAAGATCAAGCTCATACACACACACACGTGTTTTTATAATAAAGGTAGGCATTCGCTACTTGATATACTGTAGAGTGAGAGGCTTATTGGCTCTGTAAAGGTTAACAATGATTGCAAAAGCTTTACGTTTGGTTACGTACTGACTTACGTTTCTTTTCAAATTCTTACTTATCCAATTTCCTCGTCAGAGATCCTGGCATTCCGGGGTACCAGATATATTTCAAGATATACGGTGAAAACCAGAGACCGCAGGGATTAGTGGATTCATGCCAGTTTAAATAATAGTACTGAATGAACAATGGAATTTATTCCTGATCACGCACACACAATCGCACATACATATTGCTCGCCCTATTTTTCACTACTTTTTTTCAAAGTACACACTGCCCAACCTAGGGATTGAAATCACAATTACTCTATCACCAAATTCGCGAACCAAGACTTAGTGGATTAAAGCCTTTGTTCGTAAATTTGTTGACAAAATAATTGTAGGTTCAATCGCTTTACCTGGTCTATTTATTAAATAAGAATTCGACAACATATCCCTAAATATGGGCAGTGGAACGAGAACAATCTCTTCACCATAGATTAAATAAAGTGTTCAGTATGAAATTCCCTGTAGGTTACCCGGATCGGCATACACCTGATGAAGGTCGAAGGGCACAGCAGTTGAAACGTTGTCATAATAATAACAATGATAAAGAAAATAGTCAGCATGTAATAAATAATGAAAATAATAGCACCAGGAATTCGGACATTGGTTTCAACCACGGCCTCTAGACGACTTCGGAATCTCCTGCAACTCTTCTTCCTTGTTTAAGTTGGTGAATCTTTACCTTCAGTTCATATTTCGTGTTAATGGGAGTTTTATTGGTTTCTCGCTCAACTGCACCCCCACATAATAACCAAGGGATCGGGGCAATAACATAACGTCGATGACATCAAATATTAATCACTCTTTCATACAAGTTTCCTGACAAAGTACTGCGTTTAATTTTTTTTAACTTAATTTTTCTTGTGTTCTTATAATTTTCTTCTTGCATGATTTAAATTATGTAGAAATTGTGTAAATTTCTGTATTTTTGTGTATGTCTGAACGGTTTCGGCTATACATTTAGCCAATATCAAGGATTGTTTTATGTATGTACCTATAGTAATGCTTTATTTGCCCAACGCGGTCAGCATATTGTTTCAAAAATGAAACATACTTATAACTCTCTCTCTCTCTCTCTCTCTCTCTCTCTCTCTATATATATATATATATATATATATATATATATATATATGTATAAAACAAGCCCTACATTCAGTTAAAAGTAAAAATAAAATCATTTTTGATAATGGCTAAAAGTGTATCCAAAAGCGCTGTGATATACAAAACATTTGGACAATTTTTACATAATTTACTTCCTGAAAAGAAGAAAATTATGAAATCACAAGAAAAAATTAAATAAAAAACTTAACCGCAATACCTTAATGAACCTATATATATATATATATATATATATATATATATATATATATATAGATAGATAGATAGATATGTATAGATACACCTAGTGAGCCAGACAAAACTACCTAGGTTTCACCTAAACGGATCGTCAGAAACGAGTCTAGTTATCTATCTATCTATCTATCTATCTATATATCTATCTATATATCTATATATATATATATATATATGTGTGTGTGTGTGTGTGTGTGTTATGTAGTATTTAAAACTCCGACTCTCAATTGCGGCATTTCAAATCTTATATATTTGCTTTTCTGCCATAAATGCAAAAAAGGAAATTATGTTGGGGAAATTGGAAAAAATTCAGTTCAATAACCATAAAAAAAGAACAAAAAAAAACATCAGGAACAAGACAATTTACCTGTCGCTGCTCACTTCAACCAACCATTTCATAGCGTCGGTGACATCAAATGCGTGCCTTTAGCGTCTTCATTCAAAAGGCCGAGAAGAAAGCCCCAGATCGGAGTTGAAATTTAATTTGAAAATAAATTCAAGCGTCGAGGGATTGAACAGGGATTTAGGTTTACACAGAGATTATCATTTCTACCTCTATCTAGAGGTTAGATACCTCTAAACCAGCAACATTCCTAGGAAGAGTAAGTCCTACTTTTATGTTTAATCCTCGTATTGTTGATAAAGTACACAGGCGAGTTGGAAAATTCCCACATAAAAATCTATCTCATCGTGCCTCAATTCAGTCAAAATATATAATAAATATAAATTTTATTGACAATATGGCATCATTTTGTTGGCTTTTATTCTTGAAATTTTGTTAACCGGCCTATTAAATCTTTCTCCCCTTCCCTCTCCCTCTGTCTCTCTCTCTATATATATATATATACTGTAATATATATATATATATATAGTCGACTTTCTCGTCGAGTTCGACGTATGAGGGTCATGCAGATCAGTTACCAGAAAGAAGATGAATCCAAATGTCGCCTCAGTGTAGACTTTTATATATTTTTATATCTATATACGTTCTATCTCTGCTTTTACCTACCTAAATAACATACCTTAAAAGAAAGTAAGTATACACCCCCCATATATATATATATATATATATATATATTTGATTATAGTGGTGAAGGTTTCGTGCAAGACCATCCACACTTTTTGAAGGGCCGAATACAGAGATCTGGTGCACTACGTGCCACAAGGTCCCCAAACGACCCTTCGCAGGTTTTGAATTCAAAGTTGTCCTTCTCCTAGACCAGTTGCCATCCAAGGCTATAGAACCCAGTCTGTCTCGTTATTTACCCATAGCTGGAGGGAGAAGAAGAGGATTCACACCTTTCCCAGGGGTATTAGCACGCAAGTGAATGTAATGGATTCGACTGGAATTCGAACTCGACTCTGCGATTCCTCAATTCAAGTCGCTATCCGTTACTCCAACGTGCCTCCTCTCTATATATATATAGAGTGACGAATTCCTGTCACTATTTCTTGTTTTATATAAGTAACATGTTCTTTTAAAAACAGATTTCATTAAATGTGACTGACAAATCCTTGTTAATCTTGCATTTACAAATACCATTTTAAAGTCTGTGCGAGTTTTTTTGAGTGTCTGAATGAGATTAGCGTTGATCGACGATAGACACATCGGCTGCTAACATTAATATAATGAGTTCTGTTGTTCGACTTGAAGACAGTGGATTTGTAAAAGTTGGAATTAAGTTGTATATTTGTTAATTCATTCGATCGTGCTCATGCGTATGCAATCGTGTATAAGTCTAAGAACAAGCACTGAAAAATCGATCTCCCTAATTTTGGCAAAATAAAAAAAAAGTTATTTATTATCTTTTTTTGTTTGGGATGTTTTTCTTTTTTCATTTTCTATCATTTCTATCATTTTTCTATCATTTCTATCATTTCCTACTCTGAGATTTTTTTAAAATAAAAAAAAAGTTTCAGTATTACGTTCACAAGTCTAGTAATAAATTAGGTTTGTTGGGCTTCCACATCGGTAAAACGGCTAATTATCTGTCTATATTTCTGAGATGAAGTATTATGTACACTATTTACATTATTCGTTCTATTGTCCTCATCTTTGTCGCTATATTTATTACAACGTTTCGGCCGTTGTACGCTCCGGCCTTCTTCAGGTGGTTGGAATGTCGAACTGAACACTTTATTTAAATGTAGAGAAAAGGGAATCCGCCCTCTTTGGGTCCAGGTTGAGATCATGGACAAAGAACACCATTGGAAAATTCGTAAACTTAAAGAATCAGCACTTATGCTAGGCCACAAAAATCTCCTGAGCCGACCAAGCATAGAAATGAATACAATATGGGGACCAGTAATAAGGAGTGCCAGAGAAAAGCAATAATAACAATTGTGAGTTCAATACCCGGTTAAGGCAGTGGAGAACTTGGAGAGGGGAATTAACAGGAGATAACTGATAACTGACATCCATTAAACATGGCTCGTGGAACTAGGACAGTCTAGCCCAGTGAGCGAAATAAAGGGTTCAGTTCCATATTCCAACCACCTGAAGAAGTCCGGAGCGTAAAACGGCCGAAACGTTGTAATAAATATGGTGAGGACAATAGTCCGAGTAATGTAAATAGTGTACACAAATCTAGTTCAATATCATTTACACTATTCACATCCGGACTATTTTCCTCATTCTTTTTGTTGTTGTCACAACGTTTCGGTCGTTGTGCCCTCTGGTCTTCATCAGATAATCCGGATAATCTAAAGGGAATTCCAAACTGAATTCTTTTTTTTTTGTCATTCTATGATGGATAAATTGTTCTCGTTCCACTGATCATGTCTAGGGATGTCTCGTCTAGTGCTTACTTTTAGTAGTGCTACTTTTTTCCTAGCCCTGTTTCCACTGAGTACGAGTACACACGACCCGGCCCAGGGATTGAACTCACAATTACTATGTCATCAAATTTCCGAATCACAAGGCTACAATCCAGTCACGAATGTAATTAATGATAACTCCCCATCCCAGAAATTCAGAGTGCTATATATTTATATAAAGAAATACATCGCAAATATATAGACTAAAAGAAAGATATTTGAGGAACAAAATATCCCATGTACCTGAATATGTGATCATATTATTATCTTGCATAATAATATGGTTTCCATGACGTTATATATCCTTCACCAGTTTTTCAAACTCTGATTCTGTCAACTTTTCTACTGTTTCATTTTAGCAGTTTTTACAGTTTTTATTGCTTCACAGCAAACTTTGCTTGAATATTCTTTTCTGTTGCATCTCTTTTGGTTATGGACCATAAACTTTCTTTTGGATTAATGTCGAGAGATACTGAAGGCTTTTCTAAAAAATGGTGTCATGGAAAATTCCTTGGACAAAGTAAGCAATAGTTGGCAGACAGTGAAAGAGCATTGATTGCAGGGATATATTCTTGGACTTACATCTTGGTGGTTCTGTACTAATGCAAGGACAGCTTCTCCAAGAATATAGAAATATTTTTCATTAAATCGTCAATTTAGTAGGCATCTATAATTTTACTACTAACAGACATAGCAGCAGGAGTAGTAGTAGATTTCGCCCATTTTAAAATGGTTTTCGTCCTGGGTATGAAGATAAACTACATCTGGCAGCAAAGCCTCTGATTGGAGGGTGGGGTGGAACCGCCTCATAATTGCTTTTGTTCCTAGGTCCACCCTGACTTAGGGTGGTAGCATCTGTTAGAGTCCCAGCTATGCGCTAATAGTGGACCCCTCTCAGTTTAGATAGGGAACGATTACATTCACTTCATACTAATACCGTGAGAATGCATTTCAACCCTTGTATTAAGTGTAAATATCAGCACTGTTTGGGTCCTTCAGATAGCAAAAGGGCTCGTGTAAGAAAATATTTTAACGGAAAGTCTGGGTAAAGGACGACGTTCGTGTGTTGGATTGGCTATGCTCCCTGTTAAAGAACAAAGAACAAATCGATTTGCTTCAGAGATATGACACTACGATCCTCAAGGGATCTACAGGAACAAATGATATTAATAGAAATTAAGGTTAAATATTATCCAGTATTTCAGAATCAGTGTAAGAAAAGTATGCATCCAACAAACCTGTGATAATTTACGCAGGAATTTCAACCATTTAAATGTTTTCGCTGAACCTCAAAAATATTGACTTTTACACAAAACGATAAATAAACACATGAAGTAAGCGATACGATGCGCGGGCAAATGTAGCACTTATTGACATAGAAACCGGTGAACCAAGTTCAACTGAGTTCAACCGATTTCAACCGAGTTCAGCCGAGTTCAACCGATTTCAACCGAGTTCAAATTTCCTGTTTGTTTTGCTTACTTTCGTAAATATACGCTTGGGAAAGGCCTGAAGACATCCCATTTCCCTCCAACTATAGCAAGGTAGATCAGGGTGTTTTGGCTTGGGTAGCAACTAGTCTAGGTGAATAATGGCGGAATGCAATGCGATAAAAAAGGCAACGGTATAACCGTATCACTTTTTACCCTTACGATGTCATGGCTATCCACAGATAATGAAGAAACAGAATCTGTAGAATGTTATGGTGATTTTATAAGCATAGCTTAGATGTAGCACAAGGCCTAAAGTATGGAGCACCCAGTGAGGTTCTAATTCAATATTCAGTTGTAACTAATCAATCGAGAGGAGCTTGCTAAACATTACGTCGAAGTGCCTAGTTATGATCGATTATCCCATTAAAATATATTGCACCCCCCAAAAAAAACAACAAATTATGTTGGGTTTTTTATACTAAAAATAACACAGTACATTCATAGTAGCAGGTTACTGTTAAAATAATTATGATGAGGATTTTCTAAGCGTAGCTTAGATGTGGCACAAGGCCTGGAGCACTGGGTACTTAAATATTTGTATCTATAAAAAGAATGTATAAACATAAAAATGTCTTAGAATAGTTGTCGGGCTTTGTTCATTTCATAATGTGTGACGTCATTTGTTTACATTTGGATACGCTTTGAGCAGTTATGAATGTACGTGAGAGATTCATGGAAGATTGCAATTTAAAAACAGTAAAATCGACCTTGCTAATCGAACAATCCTCCGTGGCTCGATCGGTCAAGGCATGTCAGGCTATATGGCGGTTCCGTATAGGATACAGGTTGGATTCCTGTCGGACGACAAATATTTTCTATGAAAATTTCTCGGACATTCAGTAAATGTTTTTAATACTGTTTATTATAAAACAGAGCATTTACTTAAATATTTGTATCTATAAAAAGAATGTATAAGCATAAAAATGTCTTAAAAATGAACATTGCTACTTTCTTCACAAGATTCTCAAAGAGTGATAGTCGCCATTACCAAAGAAAACAAATGACTAACGCTATGTATTTATTTGTGCCATGTTCAGCGCTCTTTTAGGAGCTTAAAATTATTGTTCGTCCTATTAAATATTTCCTCCTTATGGCGCTATAACTTCATGATCAACCTGATTTGCTTATTTACCGTCCATCCACATGACTAGTTAATTTGACAAACGACAGGAATTTAACATCATATGTAAAAAAAAACACATCAAAGCAAAAAATTGAACGAAATATCGTGTGTATGCTGAAGACGTTTTGCTGTTTCTTGTTTAGTAACTAGCTATTCTTCGTATTTGGTGTGTTATATCGCTCCAGAAAGTGGATGATCATGGCTCTTTACAGCTTTCTATCCTTCGTAGCTCTTGGAGGAGGAAGTTGAGAAACGGGAGTGAACGATAAAAATAAAGGAATTCGCGGGCTTGTTCATAGTTGTAGCAGTAAAAATGACGAGAGTTGAAATTTTAATTAAAGACCAAATTAAAACAATCCAACGGAATGACCTCGACTTAGAAATCGGTTAGAAGGGCCCCGAAACATGAATGGGGCTTTTAAGATTAAATTATATTGTGAAATTATTCATCATGGTATCACTCCCTTTTTCTCTCCTTTTGTAGCTCCATCTCATATCCCAACAACTTCCTTTCTTTCTCTTTCTCTACTTTCTCTCCACAATTTCTCTCCCTTTCTTAACTTCATTTTCTGGGCTCAGTTTCTCCCCCTCACTTAATATATGTCGTATGATTTTTTTCTCTCTCTTTTTCTTTACTTTTTCTGGTCAACTTCTCTTTATCACTCGCTCTCTCTCCCCCTCTCTCTCTCACTCGTTTCCATCCTTGCTCAAAAATGTTTCCCTTCACTCTCTCTCTCTCTCTTTTTACTTTCTCTTTCCACTTTCATTCTCTCTCTATTGTCTCTCTCTCTCTTACTCAGTAACTCTCATAGAACTCCCGCTCCCTCCGTTTCATTATTTTCACTTTCTCTCTTTCTCTCCCTGTTTCTAACTCAATATCTCTCAAAAAACGCCTCTTATGTCTCTGTCTCTTTTTTTTGTTCACCTTCTCTCTCTTTCCTTCTCTTTATACAATTCTGCCCGCCCCCTCTCTTCATTTTTCACGTTTTGTCTTCCTCTGCGTCTCTCTTATCCAATATATGCAATTTTCTCTCTCTTGACTTCTCTTGTCCAACTTCTCTCTCTCGTTTAATAACTTTCCTAAAACTTTTGTTTATCTTTTACAATCACTTCCCACTCCCTGATTTGGCTACTCAATGTTCCACTCTGTTCCTTTTACTTCGATACGTCCCGTGAGTGGCAAATTTTCTAAGCTTTCTTTCCTCATTTCCGAGAAATTTCAACTGCTTCTTTCTGATTCTAAATATTAGTGTCCTTTTTGTTCCTATTTTTAGAAACTTCCTTATTGCCCAGACACCCCCATCCTTGGTATTCCCAGCATCATTCTAGACGACCACATCTTTTTTACCTCAGATCTCGTTTTCATGTGTGACGAAGTTGTCCAGCATTTACTGCCAAAGTAGAGGACTGACCAAACAGTTCAGCCGTCTTTTCTTTGCTTTTCAGGTTTTGGTTTGGTTTGATTTACGGCATATCAACCTCAAAGTGTTATTTAATGTCCAAAAGATTTTTATTGCTGGTAATATTTCTTTTGCAAATAACTGGTAATAATGTATTGTAGGGAATAATATTTTCTTCAAAAATGTATTGCTAGGAATAATTTTTCCAAACATTTATTGTTCGTATTAAAACCTATTTTTATACATTCATACTGTTTTAACCCATTTGGGAAGGGGGTAACTATTTGATCATAGCTGGAACCCTGACAGGTGCTACCACCCAGGATCAGGGTGGACCTGGGAATACCAGCAATTAAGAGGTGGTTCCACGCACCTCAAAACTTCAGAGGCCTTGCTGTCGGACGTAGGTTATCGTCATACCCAGGACAGTTGCTTTTCAGGAAATTTTCCTGTTTCTTAATACTATGCTTAGCCTTTGGAAGGCACCTTTGGCTATTTCAATGCGCCTTCGGATTTTGATGTTACAACTCAAAATTCAGAAGTTAGAAAATGACTTCAATGAAACGAAGATCTGTGAGTATTTAAACGTTCCATGTTATGTTTTTTTCTTATAGAAACTTTCTTTTTCGATTATGTTGTTGCTGATGATAAAAATGTAAAAAGAATGACTCTATTCATTACAATCGTTGACATCTCGACCTAAATGAAATATATATTTAGAGACTGGTACACTTATTGTTGGGATTCTAAGAGAATTCTTTATTTGCCTCTTTTACTGCAATTTGGGAAAATCTTTTGTATGCAATGTGACAGTAATTAGTAATTATTGGCTTGTTTGAATGACGCATCGGACCAGAAAAAACTCGCTGAATAAGGATGTCGCTTGTTGATTTTGCATCAGTTAGCCTTGTGTTGAAAATGCGGGGCTGCAATCTTAGAGATGGCAGGGGAGTTCTTTCACAATCGGCATCTTTTAGACATACGGGGATCGTTCAAAATGCTATAAGCCTCACTCAGAAAAAAGAGACATAGCTGAAGATGTTTGTTGTGGCAATACACTACCACTTCTTATAAAACTAGAAAAACTAATTAATATATCTGTCTTAATTTCTGTGCAGGTGAGGCCCATACGAAGGTGAGGAGTGTGCGACAAATCCAGAAATCGATACAACAGAGGCCCAAGCAGTCATACATTATCTGCCAAAGAAAGGTATGGCACCCAAGGAAATCAATAAGGACCAATGGTGCGCACATTTGCTGAGAACTCTCCTTCGTATGCAACTGTGAAGAATTGAACTGCGTGTTGGTCAGGTCACGCTAAAACCTCAACCACTCAAGCTGATATTATTCACTGTATGGTTTGGGATGAGAGACGTCTTGTTGTCCAGCAGATAGCTAAGTCCATGTTTTAGTTCTGGTTCGGTTCGGTTCATACAGTTTTCACAAATATCTGGTGGATATGCGGACTGTCTGCAAGATGGGTCCCAAGAATGCTGACACCAGAGGAGAAGTTGAAAAGGGCTGACATTTCAAGCTCTCACTTCCAGGCTGACCTTGAAAATTTCCACCACAGATTAGTAACTCAAGATAAACCTACTTCAGATATTTGTCTTAATTTCTGTGCAGATGAGGCCCATACAAAAGTGTGAGATGTGCGACGAAACTAAAAATGGACAAGATAGAAACCCGAGCAAAAGAAAGGTATGGCATCCAAGGAAATCAATGAGGACCAATAGTGCACACACTTGCTGAGGACTCCCCTTCCTATACAACAGTGAAGAATTGGGTTGCGTGTTTCAAGGAGGCAAAAAGAAGACCCTTGGTCAAGTCACCCAAAAGCCTCAACCACTCAAGCTGATATTATTCATCGTATGGTTTGGGATGATAGACGTCTTGCTGTTCAGCAGATATCTAAGTCCATAGGTTGTAGTTCTGGTTCGGTTCATACAGTTTTCACAGATATCTTGGGGATATGTGACTGTCTGAATGATGGGACCTAAAATGCGGATACCAGAGCAGAAGTTGAAAAGGTCAGTCATTTCCAGAACTCCCTTCCAGGCTGACCGTGAAAATTTCCACCACAGATTAGTAACTCGATAAAACTTGGGTTTACTACTTCGAATCTGGATCAAAGATTCAAAACAAACGGTGGAAACACTCTAGTTTTCCACCCGCGAAGAAGTTTATGCAGACAGTTGGCAAAGTGATGGCTTCTGTCTTTTGGAATTCCGAAGGCATAATCAAGACAAAATATCTGGAAAAGAGAAAACAATAAAAATACAGAACTCTGCATCGATATTAAGACAACTGAAGGAAGCAATCAAGTTGAAACGCAGAGGGAATTTGAGTGCAGGTGTGCTCTTGCTCCATGATGACGCATCCGTTCACACAGCTCAGATGACAGCAGCTGAATCAGTCAACTGTGACCTTGAATTGCTACCCCATGTTTCTTATTCACCAGATTTAGCTTCAAGTGACTTATTCCTGTTTCCTAAACTCAAAATAGTTTGAAAGAGTTGGAAAACAGAAACATTACTAAGGATTGGGAACAACAGAAAGAATAATCAAGACGACAATAGGTAACGATTGATTATTGCATTTCAATTTTTGAAGATCAAATTTAATTGGAAAACATGAAACCGGAAGAGAGTTTTACAAGTGAAAGTGTTAGCATAGAACATACAGATACTTCCAGCCAATTCAACTGTAAATTGGTGAGACCTAGCTGCCAATCTAGTAGTGCGCTTAAATTCATATAGTTTAGGTAGCATAGCGAATAGCTCAACTGAATATACAAACCATTACATTATCTATATATATATATATATATACACATTACATTATATATATACACACATTATATATATATATACACACACATTATATATATATATATATATATATATATATATATATATATATATATATATATATATATATATAGCCTTTTTGTGCTTTTTTCTATAAAAGTATGAAAATCACAAAAGGGTATATATATATATATATATGTCTGTATATATATATCTATGTAATGTGTATGTATATATATATATAATGTAATGTGTATATATATATGTATATAATGTAATGTGTGTGTATATATAAATATATAATGTATATATATATATATATATATATATATATATATATATATATATATATATATATATATATATAACGATACGGCGTTTCATGTGAAAGGCAATGTTCAGGTACTGAGTATACACTGGACAGAGTATACACACACACACACACACACACACACACACACATATATATATATATATATATCACAAAAAATTAAAAACAGAATTCATAGAATTAATCATGAAACCCTTATTTTATGAGTGAGTACACGATTTATCGGAAAGATGGCGCAAGGAAAAACACTTTATTGAGCGAATGATGATGCAATGAATTTACAGGAAGTAAAGTATTTATCAGCTATACATTGGACACTTAACTGCAATGTATTAAAGAGGAATCCAGTTTCTGCTTTTAGATTAAAAAACAGGTTGACAAATCATAATTATAACATGTATTTACTTCAGTAATATGTTCAATATTCGGTGAATGCTCCGTAATTGTGTCCTTGTGCCAGACTAAATTACATATTCTAGAAAATTAGATTATTCAGTTGTTATTGTATCCCTATGCCAGTCATCTAAGCCCACATAAAAAAATCATGTTTCAACTGAGTTCGCCTTGCGGATGTACAAACAGGAAGGTTACTTCTCGAAAGGGCTTATGACCTGCTTGTAAAAGTCTGTGGTAAGTATGAGAGAACCTCGAGCAAATGATAAGGCCAGCAGAGAAACGTTTCACGGAACAGATTCCGGGAAGCAGGGTACGGATGCAGCCTACCCCCAGAGTCAGATGAATAAATAAATAAATGCAGAAAGACCAATATTTTCTTTTTCAAAATAGATTTTTATCTTAATTATCTTATTTGCATGCAGTCTATGATTAAACATTAATTATTCTGCCAAAATGGGTTGTGATTGTCTTTTTATTTTTGATTCTCAAAGGACCTCAAATGCCCAAATCGATATATACTCGTCGTGTTTAAAACTGCTTTTGATTCAGCGATGACGAGATTATTGATAGAGGTGCGACAATTTTTCAGACATTTTGATAAAAGATCAGTCTAATTAGCACCAACGTAATTACAAGGGAAATGCTCAAAGTACGTTACCATATATATATATATATATATATATATATATATATGAAAAATTCTCAAAGTTCTTTACCATATATATATATATATAAATATATATATATATATATGTTAGCTCTATCAGTGATATTGAGCGCTTTCCCATAAGTCCCACGCATATATAATATATAAATAATATATATATATATAAATTGTTTATATAAATTTATATTTATATACATAAACATTTTACACACACACACACACACACACACACACACACACATATATATATATATATATATATATATA